TCAGCAAGAAGTCAAGAAAATGGTAGGGACGAAAAGAAAAGTAGGATTTGTTTCATCAAATATTGATTGATTTCTTCCGATAAATGTTTCTTGTTTTGCAATTCTTCTTCCATTGATACTCTGGAGTTTTATCTTATTTCTTCGTTTGTTTGTGCAAGATATAAATATTTCTTTTGTTTGAACGTTAGCTAACGTATTGCTGTTCATGTCACATCTTAAAGAATTGGGATTTTCGGTTTAAAACCAGCTATAAATGATTGAAGAACAAAGTATAGTCGATCTCGCATTGGTAATTATTTCTAATTTTAACAAAAAGGGTAAAATCCTAATTAGGGCCTTCTATCATCATGAAGGCATCTTGGTTTAAGAGAACTACAGAATAAGGAAGATCACACAGCAGAAAACTACAGACTTCCCTACAATCACGGAAGCTGACCCATTGGAAATATCCCAGATCCGTCCGCAGAGCCTGATCCATCTGCAAATCGTGTGCTAACGGACACTATGCCTGCCGACATACGGTGAGCAAATACTCCACGTGTGGTAATCCACTGGCACGGGCCAGTAGTGTCGCTGACTCTCACTCTCTGTGCCCTCCACGTTTCACACACTCCCACCCACTGTTGTAGAGGTACAACTGCACGCACGGTGTCTTCTTCCCGTCCGAGCTTCGTCTACACACGCGTGGATCACGATGGGTAAGAGAAGTACAGCTGTCCGGTTTCCATCCACGGCCAGACCCACGAATCTTATCGATTTGGGGAAGACAGCTGTTGAGAACGTTCTGGGAGATCTCCTTGAATATTCCAACATATGATATAGCTTGAAAACAGGGGGCAATGAAGTTCGTCAGATGACACCCATAAAACGACACCTTTTTTCAAGTACGGATGGATGGCTGACCTTTCATGAGATTTAACCGCAAAAGTCGGCTTCTCCATTGCTTTCGTCTCTCTTTTTTCCAAGTCTTCTTCCTCATCAGGGCCTTCTGGGTTATCCTCAACAGCGGTGTTCAACGTACCTCTAACATCTCCCTTCTGCATTCCTATTTCGTTTATGTTATTCCCTTTGCATTACCCCTCGGATACATTTGTATAGCCATCAACGCATATAACAAAACAACGAATAAATATAGGTGTATGTAACATCCCTAGGTCCCCTATTAATTGATTGTAGTAATTATGATGGGAACACCATTAATCATAATTGTTTTCAAGTTAGATGGGTTGATAAGTTTAACTAAAGAAAGCTTATTCGAAACATGATTTTTAAACTTTTCCCATTAAATCATTGGGTTGTGCTATATTTCTACACTATCCTTAAGAGACTGCTTGATTGGTCGTTTTTTCGGTCGTTTTCTTCTTTTCTTGATTGTCTGAATTGATCCATTTCTCAGAGACCAAGAGGCCCAATGAGTCATGAACGATCAGTACAAGGTCCAGTAACGGGACTACTTTTTCAAACCCTTAACGCTCCCTCTGGGCAGCAGTTGAGCCACTCATTTAGTTGATATTATATGCAGAAAGACTACTGGTCCATCCCTTCGGGAGCGGCTCGTCTGTCATAAGTGGGCTCAACCGACGTGGATTGACGGTACATAAGGCCCCGTGGGCTTATTAAAAATGCAATTGAATTATTGGGACGCCCACAGTCTAGCGCTGTTAGCACGTCGAAGGTCAGTTCCTTGCATCTTTTCACACCGAAAAGGGTGTTTGGCGTTACATCTTTTAAATCTTTCAATCACGACATTGCTGGATGAAATTGTTTGTCCCCCATGGAACAAGTTGGGCGGTCCACATCACCGAAGATTATCTACTTTCAAATTTCTCCTATGCGCGTCGCTACGATCCCCGGTGAATTTAAAAACCCATTTGTCAAATCTATAATATGTACACGTAGATGTGAAATAGATGTTTCAAATTTCAGATGAACTCACAATGCCGTTTCTTATTCTGTTCATGTATGTGCGTGCGTGTGTACGCGCGCGTATCTCAGAGACCCACCCTTGAATTGTTTAACAGTACGAAAGCCTATCCGAATACGGGCCGCCGGGCATTGGGAACTCCCTCATTCTTCATCTAACATTTACTGTTTTGGCACGTTGCCCAACTGCTGCAAAAGGTCTACCCTCCGGTTTTGCGGCGGAGAATATGGTGCATGTGAACGCCGACCTTTCTGGGGAGTTCCCTGCATCATGCCTGCTGCCCCTTGTTTCTGACCGATCTCCTGGTTTCTTGGTCATAGCATTGTGAAAACTAATTCTGTACATGATGTACGTGCCCACATACTCTCCCTGAAAAGTAGAAGAGAAAGTCCATCGAAGTAGTCTTTTCAATAGACACGGGAAGGTTCACTAGCAGCGAGTGCTGGGGAGAGAGATTAGGCGAGCTGTGGAAAAGATCAGCTCATTTAAGCAAGGTGCCTGCTTGGCTTTACGAACATCGACATACCCTTGAGCTGGCGGTGGACCCTTGAACTGAACAGAAGACGCAGTAAACGAGGGAGGCCCTGCAAAAGAAATACCTATGCTAATCGTAGGTGGGCTGGGATGCGGAAACATGTATATAGATGTATATACCGAGAAAGAGAGAGAGAGAGAGAGAGAGAGAGAGAGAGAGAGAGAGAGAGAGAGAGAGAGAGAGAGAGAGAGAGAGAGAGAGAGAGAGAGAGAGAGAGACGGGGGGCGGGTAACTACATTAACAAATGCCCACTGAGTTCGTGGTCGTAAAACAACCTGTCATCTTGGCTTTTGACCTGTTCAAGACAGAACGTGACGAAAGGGACGAGGGGGAAGTCCACCAAATATTTTCTATTGTTAAACCAAAAAATAGTAAGGAGGGTTGTCCGGACCTGCCATCATGTGGAGAGCGAACGATAGGTAAATTATCCAGAAAATCATTATAATTCAGCATCGATATTCAGACTTAATTATTTTCACTGCTTAATTCTTTAATAGATCTTCATTGGTCTATGACTGGAAACCCTTCATTTTTTTATGAAATAGAATTAATAGTGAGGAATCAGGTACATTAATTGCTGGTTAATTACAAGGACCAAGTTCATTGTCACTTTGCAAAGCTTGCATAATAGGAGGGAAGCTATGACATTATTCAATATTTGAATGTCTAGTTTGTTTGGTTTCATGTCATTTCTGTGAACCTTCTCGGTTTCTTGCGTGATATGCGCTGTCATATTTTCTCTTTCACCAAGAATTCTTGATTTCCGCTTTATTCATGGGGAGAAAGTTTATCTTCCTTGACCCTATTGCTTCCTGCTAAAGAAACACATGTCCTAGTTTCCTTTTTCCAAAATATTAGCAAACTTGATGCTTGGCAAATGTGAAAAGTTCACAAAAACATTAAGAATGAATTTTTAAAGATGAAAGTTTCCTTTTTATAAAGGTATTGATTTCCATCATAAAAACAAGTTTGGTACCCACAATGTCTCTAGCTTGGAACGATTAGAGAAAAGAAATTTAGAGAGGTGGTTGGAGTGTGTGTGTGTGTGTGTGTGTGAGAGAGAGAGAGAGAGAATGAGAGAGAGAGAGAGAGAGAGAGAGAGAGAGAGAGAGAGAGAGAGAGAGAGAGAGAGAGATTTTAGTGCTCCCTAACTCACCCAACCAAGAGTTACTGATCAGTTATAGTAATGCTTGAAAGAGACTAATGAGTCTCAATAAACGACCAAAAAGATTTCTGTTTAATGTCATCTTTCATTTATGGTTGAGATTATTGGAAACTTTACCCCAATCAAGAATTTTGGTGTAATACTACTTGTATTCCTTGGCTTCAACATCTCACATTACACGAAATAGTTAATGATGGACGGTTTTTGGTCAAGGAAAATAACACAAAATATTATTTCACTAAACCTATGAGAACCTAAAATGATCATTGTAATATATATATGACACCAAACTACTTTGAATTCACACAATAAATAAAGCATTGAAGTATGGTTAAAGCATAAAAGCATCGTCATTTACTTACACAACAGCTTAATAATGTTTGCATCTACAAGTATCTCTTCAAATATATCTTTCAGTATAGAGGATGTCACCATTTATAGACATTTTCACACGACTATCACCCAACTTTTCTAACTCAGGCTCAAACATAGTTAGTACAAATATTTATTTTCTTATATTAATGTTTATTTTTATCACAATATTTCTATTTTAAGCAACTAATGAAAAATGGTGTTTTACTATGTATGGTTAAGTATCATCTTGACATTTGAGGCATATGTCCCTGATTGAAAAGTGTTTTTAACTCTCCTTCCACATGAGTGAAATGTTATTTCATGATATATAACAAATGTTAACATCACACATGAACAAGGATCGGTTTATATACTCATCAAGATCTGTTTATTAGAGATTAATGAATAGAGGAAATAGTTAAGGCTCTCAAGACATTGACTAGTGATGCAACTATTAAAGTTAGATCTATATTCTCTAAGATGGAACCAATAATTGGTGTCAAGAAATTTCTAGGCACATTGCCATCATTACAAGTACTCTTCCTCGGTTTTGGAAATAAATGTCCTTCCATCTGATAGGATACTAACAATCATCCAATGTCATATCTCATTGTTATAGGACGATTTTATTTATGGGAAAAAGTGGTTTTATTTTTTCTGAATTACGAAATAATACTCATTATCATAAAATATAATGGATGTTAATCAATTCTGAGAGACAAACTGAATATTGACCATAACTCATATTGTTTCCTCAATATGCTATTGATCAACCCATGACTGAGTATCATAGGGTTGATCAATTCCACACTCCTCAGGACAATTAAGTAATAATCTAGGCCTACTTCGTCATTATTGTAGGTTATAACAAATATTCCACTATTTTCCTCAAAAATAAATCATGCCCAATGTTACGTTCATAAATTACCATCAGGTATTCAATCATCCAGGAATAGTGTAGACCGAATATACCTTAAGCAGCTTGTGATGACCGCAAGGGGGCCAAGCCTGCCATGATGCGGTTAGAGAGGACCAACCCTGACCTGCCACACCCTCACCTCCCCGTCCGAGCTCCCGCTAAAGACTCGGTACTCGTCCTCTCCCGACTCGGACTCGGTTTTAGCGACCCGGCATGCCGCCACCGTCCTCACGCCGCCTGCGTGCCCCGCCAGCACCGACACGCAGGAGAAATCCCCGCCGGCTTTCCGCCGCCATACCCTAACGGTCCTGTCCGTTGACCCGCTCACAAGCAGGGGCCCGATGTATGCAAGGCACATGATGGCCTTCTGGTGTCCATTGATGGCTCCTGCCGCCGACATATCCCCGGCGGTCTCCTCCTTCTCCCAGATAAGAATGGCCCGGTCGCTGGCCCCCGAGCAAAGTACCCGCCCATCTGGGGAAAGCACCAACGCGTTAACGGCCGAGTTGTGCTTCTCCAGGGTCGCCACGTGGGCGTATGCCTCATCACGGCGGCGACGGCGAGGTTCCGGCACTTGGGTTCGCCGCCAGACGCGGATCCGGCCGTCGGCTGATCCGGTGTAGACGGTGCCGTCGCCGGCAACGGCGATGGCGTTTACTGCATCGTCGTGGGCTGGAAGCGACTGGAGGCAGCGAAAGTCGGCAGCTTGCCAGACCTTGAGGGTCTTATCCCAGGAGATGGAGAAGAGGAGGCCGCCGCTCACGGCGAGGCCAGTGACGGCGTCAACGTGCTCTATCCACAGCCGCTTCCGGTGGCGCCTGACGGCGACGTAGTTGCTGGGGAGGGCGAAGCGGCGCAACCAGTCCCCCATTGTGGGGAGTGAAGCCATTTGGCGGTGGCGCCTTCCGGCGGACTCGCTTCTCCAAACTCGGATCTTCGAGTCCTGGTGGGCTGTGAAAACGAGGCCGTCTGAGGAGAACGCGATCGCCCTTACAGCACCGGCGGCGGCTGGCCGGAAGGTGCCCATTTGACGCAGGGAGGGAATATCATAGACGGCGATGCCCGAGTGGGAAGCGGAATAGAGGAGGGTTCCTGTTGGAGAAATAGCAAGAGAGGTTGATGGGGAGGAAGAAGAAGAGACCGACAATGTCCGGAAGGGTGCGTCGCCGTGGAGAGCGGCGGCGGATTTGGAGGTGGATGGTTGGAGGCTGGAGTCAGCGGAGGGGAGAAGGGCTGAAGACCAGGAGCTGGTGGAGGGCGGGGGGGTCATCACGCCATTGAAGGCCCTTCCTGTTTAGCCTTTACTGGATCGGAGAACGAAGCTTTAAGAGTGTTTATATGAGGGGAGGAAGGGAATGTTGAGACGCGGAGAAGCCAGCCTGACACGTGTTGATACTGTCCTCGAGTCCTTGAAGAGACAAGGGTGTGCTTACCAATGTATTTTAAATCCAAATAAACAAAACCTTATCAAAATGATGGATCTCTATTGAGATGTTACTAAGCATCATAACAAGATTGTTGTAGGATTTAGTAAGTTTGATGAGGAAGTTAGTTTTAGATATTCACTTTAATTTATGTGCCTATTCTGTCCCACTGCCTCTTGAACGATTTTTCTCATGCTGTCGCACAAGACAATTATGGAGGCGAGAGCAGTCTCCGTCAACCGGCAGAAGTTAATCTTAGCCACTGAGACAGCACCGTAAGGCAAGAGCAGACTTGTGAGGAATCCATAAATACCAAAAATACATATACATTCAAAAATTGTACATGATCAAACATTGTTGACTAACTCCTAATGAATCTCAGTTGATTTTCACAAAGTATTCAAAAATTTTTAAAAGTCCCATCTCGGCACCATCACGATATATGTGACACGCACTGTGGGGAGGCTAGGACCTTCAATGAAACTAAAATGGTTTTTACATTAGGGCAGCATAATCTAAGGCATATTTTGAGAATACTTGTAAAATACATACTGTAACTTTTGAGTCTGATTAAATCATCTATGGACTAAAGTTGTAAAGTACAATAATTTGAAGAATGTCAACTAGCTTAGAATTTACAATGACTTGAAGACTGTCAACTAGCTTATAATTATTCTAAGTGTCACATTTTGGAAAGTTTACATAAGATAGCATCATATCTCTATGTCCAAAATGGAGGCAGTTTGGAATATTTTTCATCCTAGTATGACTGCGATGCAACACAATTCACAAAAAAATAAATTGGTTGGGACACTTGCATACCTTCACCCTTCAACTGCTCACTCTTGTACACCTAAGTCTCAAAGATAAAGGCTGTTATATTTTATGAGTATAAAATTATCATATTAAATACATAAATTTACATGAAGAAGGTAAATATCACATTGGTTTTTAAATATCTTATTGAGGGTTGAAACTATGCTAAATCTATTTCCCATTAATGCATGTGAAAAACGAGGAAGAAAAGAATAAAAACACGAAAATAATGAAAAGATAGAAAATAATAGCTAATTCCAATGTTCAACCAACATACAATCTTTACACTCATAGATAAACTGTAGAGATGGAATATTTTTAAAAATATTGAAAGAAGGTTCCAATTAGTAGGTTTTCATCTCAGCAAGATTATGGAAGTCACAAGGGTTGAGAAATTCAGTGCATGGGTTTGCAACTGATCTATAGGACTGTTTTAATTGATCAAAATGCATCACATTAAAATTTTCACTAAGGAGCAATGATCCTATTTGGGGTTCTTGGTACCATCTCAACATATAAGATGCATATAAAACACCATACTTTATAATTTATTTCTTTTTGGAAACTCCTGAACTCTCCAACTCACAAGCGTGAACTTCAAGGCATTTTTGGGCCACAAAGGTTTTAATTTAATTTAAATTTATAATAAACTCAACTTGATCTTACACATAATGCAATATTTATATTGATTTTAATTTCAGGCCTTTATTTTATTTTTATTTTTGATTTTTCAATAAATATTATGATATAAGTTATCTTTTTTGAACTAAAAAATATAAAAAATGAGGTAACAAAATTGATCTTTAGGGATATAATTTGATGTTGTCTAGCCAAAAAAACTGAAGTAAAAATTGGCATCTAAATGGACACTTTGCCCCATAGTTCTTTCTAATGCCAACACTACTTTCTTTGTGACAATGATATCTTCCACTTCCACTAGTCACATCATCCTTTCCATCTACACAATCTTGCACAATTGAAGCACCCACCTAACCTTCACTCCATAGTGGCCTGTGAACTTTGATTATCATATCATTGTGGTAGCTTTCGACACCTTACTTTACAATGTTCTGAGGTTTCTTTTTTCCTAAATGATGCTTATAAAGTTTCTTAAAGTAGTATTACGTATTAGTTTCATTATTCTACCATGTGTGACAGACCTCAATAGTATCACCTCCATTATTGTACCATGTACCAAGTTACCATGAACAATGACTCGAATATTATGATGAAATTTTCAAGCATTGAAATCCAAAGATGGTCCCAACTAGTTGACCAAGTACTTTAGGCATTTAACCTTTTGAAAAATCTCATTATAAAATATTTCAAATATAATAAAATATGAATCATATAAATGAGAACCAAGTATGTTTAGAATCATTTTCAAATTGTTGTTAATCCTGATTTTGATATTTCACTAATGATTTTCTTAAGTTTTTAAGTGTTGAGAAGAATAAAAAAATATGTTTGCATCCTTAATAGAAAACACTTAAAAATGTATGCAAGTCCAAAAAGGTTTGAAATCAGGTACAAAAACATTATTTTTTAGGAATCAAAAGAGAAAATGATTATAGTGTTGATTTATAAATGGTATCACCCAAAACCCAATTATCAAAACATTGTTGTCGATAGAAGATATTGGCCAATGTAGAGAATGAAAAGGGTTGGAATGTTCTATAAAAGTATCATTACTCCAACAAGATAACAAAAACGTAAGGGTTGAAACTCAGTCATACTTGTAGAAGAAAGAGTGGATGTATGCCACAGGCACACATGACAATCAATAACGCCTAGTTTACTTCAAATGCCAAATGGCTATTAAAAACCAAGAAAATGCATACCTAAGGGAGTACTTATGAAATGAACCATAAGAACCTTTGGTTTATTCAGGTGGTGTATTATATTTTTTTTCACAATTTTTATTTTTTTTAACATTGTTTTATTTACAAACTCCTCAAGGTTCAATTCTTATCATGAGAAAGTATGTGGTCTGGGCCTGTATCGTTTTTTTAGGTTCACTAGGATTCTTAGTCGTTGGAACTTCCAGTTATCTTGGTAGGAATCTGATCTGTATTTCCATCTCAGCAAATATCTTTTTTTCCAAAAGGGATTGTAATGTCTTTCTATGGAATTGTACTTATATTTTCTACCTGTTAAAACAAGAGTAGGAGAATTTTTTTTCCTAATCTCTCACTTTTCATTGATGATAAAAAATTTAGTTAAAAATTTTATGATTTGTCTGTTTCAATGATGATCATGACACATAAAGAATAATTAAGTTATTTCCAATATTATGAAATGCATAAATGTGATCCGAAGTATTCATGGATGATCCAATATGATTAAATCTTTGGTGCTTAGATTTGATTAATATTTACTAGATAATAATGCGGAATACCATTGAATTTTACTTGATTTAATTCAGGTTAAAAGAGGAGGAATAATAGATCAGGCTAATGGGCTCGAATTTAAAGAGCCTAATGGATCTGGTTAGTGGGCCTTTATTTATAGCGAATATAATCTCTTTCAAAACTGAATCCAAATTATAACGAATCTCTTTACAGCTATACCTAAAATCTAAACAATGGTTCTCTTTAAAACCATATTCGAAACCTAACCAGAATGGATTCCTTTAAAACAGGATATAAAACTTAAACAAACTGGAGCATGAACCGTCTGTTTTATTTTTCGCCCATTTCATGGCCAAATAACCAGCGAAATTATAAAAACCAGAGTCTAACCCTAACCCAGTCTGTTATGACTTTGTCGGCTGATTGTGCAGAAGAAATAGAACGAGAAGAAGCAATTAAAGATCAAGAGTATCAATCTTTTCTCGATGCCCCTCAACTTTAATCGAAAGGAAAGGAGCGAACAAGAAGAAGCAAGGACAGATCAAGAACATCAACCATTCTCCACAACCCTCACATCTGATTGTAAGGAAATAACAGAACAAGGAGGAGAAAGATCAAGATGATCAATCATTCTCCATGCCCCTCACCTCTGATTGCAAGGAAAGAAGAGAACAAGAAGGAACAAAGAAATATCGTGAGGATCAACCATTCTCCATGTCCATCACCTCTGATTGCAAGGAAAGAAGAAAATAACAAGGAACAAAGAAAGATCTAGAGGATAAACCATCCTCCACACCCCTCACCACTGATCATACAGAAAAAAAAGAACAAGAATAAGAAATGAATGATAAATAGGTCAACCATTCTCTGTGTCACTCACCTTTGATCAATATTGAAATAGAAAACAAGGGCGCTATCATTCATGCCACTCAATTCTATTTGATATGTAAGCAAAAGAGGAGAACAAAGAATCATCACTACCATTGCCCAGTTCTGATCAAGATTAAATCATAATTGTGTGAAAATAAACTGAGCACAAATGTCTTCTCTACAAGTCAAGATTCTCAACCTGAACCTATATTGCAACCAAATTATCTTTAGCTTGGGTATTTCTCACTGTGGCATTCGTTATTTAAGTTGTAGCTACTTTAGAACCAAAAAGCTAAAAATAATGAAGTAACTTATTCAATTTTGCAAGAAAATTCGACAGTATGACATTGAGTTGGCAGGAGTTGTCAAATCTAGTGGAATGGTGGTTGACGCATGAAATTCACTATGTAAAAAACTAAGAAATTAGTGGAGCCCAAGTAATACAACAAGACCAAACCACTATGAATTTCTCACGTGATAGTATTGCTGATTATCACATGGTATAGTATTGACTAGAGATTCAAGAAGTTCTAACAAAGAATAGTGAATTCACAGGCCTCTTGATATCTTGCTGCTACTAAGAGCCCAAGAAATATCATACACTATGATGATGAAGCTTTTTAGTAATTTGTTAAATCTTTAACCTATTATACCTCTAAGGTTTTTATGAAGTTACTAGTAAATATCCTTACAACTCATTACAATATTCCAATAGAGCGATGATCATATCACAACTATGCAAAATATTACCTAAAAATATTATTTTAATGATAATTTGGTAATAATGAGCTTATTAGTCGAGTTAATTG